ATCTACGACCTGACACCATCAAGTTATTAGAGAACATTGGAGAAACCCTTCAAGATATTGGCACAGGCAAAGAGTTTCTGGAAAAGACCCGGGAGGCACAGGCAGTCAAAGCCAAAATCAACTATTGGGATTGCATCAAATTGAGAAGTTTCTGTACTGCAAAAGAAACAGTCAGAAGAGTGAAGAGACAACCGACAGAATGGGAAAAAATATTTGCAAACTATGCAACAGATAAAGGGTTAATAACCAGAATCTATAAAGAGATCAAGAAACTCCACAAAAACAAAACCAACAACCCACTTAAGAAATGGGCCAAGGACCTCAATAGACATTTTTCAAAAGAGGAAATCCAAATGGCCAACAGGCACATGAAAAAATGTTCAAGGTCACTAGCAATCAGGGAAATGCAAATCAAAACCACAATGAGGTTTCACCTCACCCCGGTTAGAATGGCTCACATGCAGAAATCTACCAACAACAGATGCTGGCGAGGATGTGGGGAAAAAGGGACACTAACCCACTGTAGGTGGGAATGCAAACTGGTCAAGCCACTATGGAAGTCAGTCTGGAGATTCCTCAGAAACCTGAATATAACCCTACCGTTCGACCCAGCCATCCCACTCCTTGGAATTTACCCAAAGGAATTGAAATTGGCAAACAAAAAAGCGGTCGGCACCCTAATGTTTATTGCAGCACAATTCACAATAGCCAAGACCTGGAACCAACCTAAATGCCCATCAACGGTAGACTGGATAAAGAAATTATGGGATATGTACTCTTTAGAATACTATACCGCAGTAAGAAACAACGAAATCCGGTCATTTGCAACAAAATGGAGGAATCTGGAACACATCATGCTGAGTGAAGTAAACCAGTCCCAAAGGGACAAATACCATATGTTCTCCCTGATCGGTGACAACTGACTGAACACCAAAAAGGAAACCTGTTGAAGTGAAATCGACACTATGAGAAACGGTGACTTGATCAGCATAGCCCTGACTGTTAATGAACAACTTAATACATTATCCCTCTTAGTAGTTTTTTTTTGTCTGTTCTACTTAATATGACTGGTTTTATTCTGTAATTTATACACAGTTATTCTTAAGTGTTGAAATTTAACTGAAATGTGATCCCTGTTAAACATAAGAGTGGGAATAAGAGAGCGAAGAGATGTACAATTTGGGACATGCTCAATCGGACTTGCCCCAAATGATAGAGTTAGAAACATACCAGGGGACTCCAATTTAATCCCATCAAGGTGGCATGTACCAATGCCATCTCACTATTCCAAGTGATCAATTTCAGTTCACAATTGATCATAATGAAAGGACTAACAGTCAAAGGGAGCACATAAACAAGTCTAGTACCTGCTAATACTATCCGATAGAATAAGTAAAGGGGAGAGTGATCCAACATGGGAAGCGAGATACTCAGCAGACTCATAGAATGGCAGATGTCCTAAACAGCACTCTGGCCTCAGAATCATCCCTAAAGGCATTCGGATCTGGCTGAAAAGCCCATGAGAGTATTTCAGGCATGGAAAGCCAAGACACTCTGGCAAAAACAAACAAACAAAAAAAAAACCAAAAAAACAAAAAAAAAAACCCTAAATGAAAGATCTCTGTGAGTGAGATCCCAGTGGAAAGAACAGGTCTTCAAAGAAGGAGGTACCTTTCTCTGAAGGGAGGAGAGAACCTCCACTTTGACTATGACCTTGTCTAAACAAGGTAAGAGCTGGAGAACTCAAGGGGCTTCCATAGCCTTGGAAACTCATGACTGGTGCATAGGGAGATTACTGATGCCATAAACAGGAGTGTCAATTTGTAAAGTCAACAACAGGAGTCACTGTGTACTTACTCCTCATGTAGGATCTCTGTCCTTAATGTGCTGTACATTGAGACTTAATGCTATAACGAGTACTCAAACAGTATATTTCACTTTGTGTTTCTGTGTGGGTGCAAACTGTTGAAATCTTTACTTAATGTATACTAAACTGATCTTCTGTAAAAAAAAAAAAAAGAAGAAGAAGAAATTATCAACTCCCAACTTGACTCTCACTGGGATTAAACATGACAATAGGTCTGATCTGATTTCATCATCATTTAAAAAATCATCTATTATTTTTCATTTTATGTTTCTGTGTGGGAGCAAACTGTTGAAATCTTTACTTAATGTATGCTAAACTGATCTTCTGTATATAAAGAGAATCGAAAATGAATCTTGATGTGAATGGAAGGGGAGAGGGAGTGGGAAAGGGGAGGGTTGTGGGTGGGAGGGACGTTATGGGGGGAAGCCATTGTAATCCATAAGCTGTACTTTGGAAATTTATATTCATTAAATAAAAGTTTAAAAAAAAGAAATTATGGAATATGTACACCCTGGAACACTACAAGGTAGTAGAAAAAAATGGATGAAACTTGAAAGCATCATACTCAGTGAAATAAGCCAGTCACAAAGGACAAATACTTGCTGTTCTCCCTGATCTGTAATAACAGAGCACCTCAAAGGCAATCTATAGAAGTGAAATTGACACTTTGAGTTGCAATGACTTTGAACAAATTTGTCTCAACTGTTGAAGTACAGTTTATTTTTTTCATACAATTTGTTGAACTATTTACTTAGTATAGAGTTAATTGTATGTGTATAAAGGTAAAATAGACTTTAGTAAATAGATTTTAGTAAAAAATAAGAATGGATGGGGCCAGCACTGTGGCATGGTAGGTAAAGCTGCCACCTGCAGTGTCAGCTTCCCATATGGGGGCCAGTTCAAGTGCCAGATGCTCCACTTCTGATCTAGCTTTCTGCTATGGCCTTCACCATATGAAGCTCCTGGCTCCTGGTTTCAGATCAGCACAGTTCCAGCAGTTGCAGCCATCTGGGACGTGAACCAGCAAATGAAAGACCTCTCTCTCTCTCTCTCTCTGTCTCTCCTTCTCTCTCTGTGTAACTCTGACTTTCAAGTAAAATAAGTAAATCTTTACGAAAAAATAAGAATGGAAATAGGAGAGGGAGGAGGAAGAAAGGTGGGAATGCAAGAAGGAGGGAGGGTTGAGTGGGAAGAATCACTATGGTCATAAATTTGTATTTATGAAATGCATGGAGTTTGTATACCTTAAATAAAAGTTTTCTGGGGCAAATATAAAAATAATGAAAATTTCCAATGAAAAGAACACTGTGGAAAAAAGTGTCATAAGTGCATGTGGTGCCAAGACTATTATCTCAAGGCCCTAAACTGAAATAGGACTTGGTGAGGTGACAGGCCAAGTGCTTTCTAATACCAAGGAGCCTCCTATGAGGAATTTTTCTAATCTTTTGTTTTGGAAAAAATTGCTTCACTCATTGGGTTTATGTAATAAAGCAAAATGACAAGACACTGCATTGGGAATATTGTCACTTCTTATCTCCAGTAAATTGTTTAAAAAATAGTGGAGGAGAGTGTGAGTATGGTTCATGCTAAAAATTTGTTGAAAGAAAGATGAAAAGAAGAGAGAGAAAGAAAGAAGAAAAGAAAGACCATATAGCTTTACCAATTTCTCTCTGTATTGGGGCCAAACACATTCTTTAGAGAAAATTCTGTCAGTCGAATTATGAGACATGAGCAATTGGGGAGGGCCAGAAGATCCTCCTCTAGAAGATGAAACCAAGGACCCTGTCCTCTACTGGGACCCACCCAAGACTGCCCAGTTTAACTTGTGGCTAAAGTAGCCCGAGAAAATGGGAGCTCAGCCAAACCAAAATAGTTTTTACACACATGTGTAGAGAGCCCAAAAGTGTGCAACTGCCAGATGTCAATCAAGAGTGTCAGGAGATCATCAGTCAACACTCCTCACACTTCAGGGATAAAAGCCCCAAGCCAGGAAGAAAAAGTGCCACGTGCTCTCTTGAGTGGCCCATTCCTCCCTTGGAACTTATGTATCAACTCCACTTTACTATCTACCTTTACTGTTGTCTCTCTAATTCAGTGAAAAAAAATTGAGGCAAGCCTGCCACCACCAGTGACAGACTCATAGATCTCATAGTTATTTACAAATTTTTTTGCAGGTACACTTCCTCCTGTTTTTAATTGTTCTAAAACATAGGTAAACTGTAGGGTCTGTGTCTCACTGACTGAACTCATGGTCAGCACTGACAATAGACTGCTTGTTTTTCTTAATGGCTTCCTTAAACTCTAGTGTATCTGTTTCCACAGAAAAATGATGGCAAAGACTAGGTTTCGTACTGGCTCTGAAAGTACCCATATTTCTATAAAGTTTTTGAGGTTTACAAAAAATTTCTAAGCACAGCCTCCTAGGACATAGATAGGAAGTATTATCATTTTTATTTTACATGTAAATACTGAGGCACATGGACAGGGAAGAAGATTTTCCCAAATCACAAAGTCAGAAAGTAATAGAGTCCAGCTTTGGAACAGTGTCTTTTCCTGTGTTACTTAGTCTCTTTCTAATTGATAGCTTTAGAAGAAGCAGAAAATCAATCCAATTCAATCCCTAAGAGAGGCCTTGATCTCCAATGAACATCGTGAAGACATAAAATAAAAGAGAAAACAAATGAAACCAAACTGGATGTTTCCTTTGTTTGAGATCATACTCAGATCTGTACTGTTTTCAGATATGAGAGTTTTGATTTGTATTATTTGCTTGAATTTCTCCCAAAGGCTTAGTTTAGATACCTCCTGAAGATCATAAGATATAAACTAAACATTCAGGTTTGGGGGATACCAAAGCAATAAACTAAGCTTAAGGGAACCATAGATTTACTTTGTCTCCAGAATCCCATGACTCAAGACTGTTCTAGATTCTTTCAAGAATCAGAAACTCACAGACTGTAAAGTGAAGAGAGAGCATAAAAAGGATCAACCTCCCCAGGACACTACAGGGTTTTCTCACTCCTAGATAATACTTAAAATGGTTATTAAAGGGCATTGTTAATCTGGACCTCCATGGTTCTTGACTCTAGAAGGAAACAGAGCAAGAAGCAAGACTTGCACACCTAGAAACATGTTAACATGGTTTCACGTTGATTTTATTTCAATTGTGCTTCTCTTTTACAAATGATAACAAATGAGTCTACTAGTTTCACTTATTCCACCAATGTTTATCAAGCACTTACTATTATATGCCACTTAACAGTTATAGCTAGTTCAATTTAGTAGTTCTGTAAATTTTAGAGCACAGACTTTACTATGTGTGGTGCAAGCTCTATTTGACATTTGAGAAACAATTGTTGGTGCTAGGAAAAAATGCTGTTGCAAAGTTTCTTGAGCAATGCCATCAGTTCTTTTGGAGTCTGTCTTAAGATGTGGCTTTAGAGTTTGGTGCCCCTCTTGGTCTTCTTAATCTTCAGGATAAATATGAACTGCTTCTGAGTTGAGATGAATAACCCTGTATCCACAGCAAACAGAATAACCACCAACAATGGGATAAAAAATGGTATCCAGTGCTTCCTTTGGTGAGCTACAATTGAACATAACAACAAAAAAAATATGATTTGTATTAGTAACCAGAGTAAAGTTCAGAGCTTCGTCCTCCCTAGAAAAAGCATGAAGCTTCATTCATGATGTGATATGGCACACAGAGGATTGGGTTTCTTGGTCTGTGCTCCCTGGAGCTCTAAATTGTAAGTCTTGAGTATTTGCCCATAATCACTTCCTAACAGTTCCTCTAGCCAGTATACTCAAAAGGAAAGGTCATAGGAAACATGGCTCCTTTTTTGGAGCTGACAAGACCAGTATCCTTATACGATTTTGATGTGGGAAAAAAACAAACAAACAAACAAACAAACAAACAAAAAAAAAACAGTGAGGCTGGAGGGTCATCATTACCCTATTTATCAATCATTTAATTGTCACTTTTTGTATGACTTGGATGAAATGAATTTATTGGACTAGTTAAACTACTTTCCAGTTGTACAATTTTGTGATTCTGTTATTCTAGTTACAGAGTACTGATTTTTGTGATTATTCTAGAATCATAGAACCCCAGAGTATTATATCCAGAAATCACTCAGAGATCACCTAGACCATCAATTCTCAACATTGGTTACACTTTATCATTATTACTGATGCCCAGCCCTTGCTCCAAACCAACATAATCAGGATCTTAAGAGATAAAACACGGACATCAATAACTTTTTTTATATTCCTCAAAGGAGTCTAGTGCTGTCTAAACCCAGCATTGTATTTTACACATAAAAATATTGAAAAATCATAGACAATTAAGCAGCACTTTGTTCTCTAATTAATACAGACCTCCCTTTAGAACTTAATTCTGACTTTTAGAATATGCTTTTTTATATACATTAGTATGAAAAAAAAATGTTCCCAAAGAAAAGTCCAGTTTCCTCCTTGCAAGACAAATATTTCAAAGGCTCCTTCTTTTATACAAACTTTGGAAATAGCAGTTTTTCTTATAGGCTGTAGAGGCACCTATGTGCCTATCCTCTCATTAAACCCATTCACCAGTTTTCCAGTACAAAGGCACACAGTTTACTGACTTCTTGGCTTCCTTTCCCAGACCTTCTATTCTAGAATGGATTCTTCAATCTTTTATATCCTTTATTCCTTCAATTTTGAAGCTCCCTTTCAATTTGATGAATGTAAGTGTTCTCAGGAGCAATAGATGACTTTGAGATCAAAAGAGTAATCATAATCTGTTATGCTCAGGTAGTGTTCAACTGTACTCAAATCCACTTCAGAAATATTGCCCCATTAATCTTCATTAAAATTCCATAATGTGAGTAGGTATTATATCACTATTTACCCAAGAAGAAATTTAAGGCAGAGATTGGGATACAGACCACAACCTAGGTCTCCTGGTTATAAGTCTAGTAGACTTCCCAAGGTATCAAAGCTGTCTACACTCTACAAGCTGCAACTGCTCAGGCTTGGATATTCTCTATTCCTTCTCCTGCTCTTGATCATGCCCTTTCCTTTATCAACTCACCTCTGATTACGGTAATGTTGATGGGACCAGAAACATAATGTCGTGGCTTAAGGTCACCCTCACAGTGGTAGGTGCCACTGTCTTCAAGTGTGGCTTTCGTGATGGAGATGTTGTGATTCTCATACCAGTACTTGAGACCTTTGCCATTCTTGTAGTAGATTACCTTGTAGGCATCCCAATTCTTCCAAACATGGCACCTGATGAAGAAGGGCTTACCCTCTGTCACCACATTAGGAGAGACCTGTAGGAGCAGCCAATCTGAAGAGTATGTAATATGTTATTTATTCAATAATGAATGGAAAGAGGTAGGAGAGGATGGATAGGTAAAGTAAAATGGGGTCATTTATAAAGCATGTGTCTGTACATGTGGGTTATAAACAATTCATTTCTTGGCTCATCAGGTTAATAAAAAGGAAACACAAAATAAAGTTTAGAGCCTATCTCCTATATTGAAAATTTATTTCTCCTCAAAAAAAAGTCAGTCTGGAGCAGTGAAGCCTCTGGACCTTGCTGCTGAGCTCATCAATGGAAAACCTGAAATGCAAAATTCTCTACAGAGCTGTTATTTCTAGGTCTACTCACTAATGTGGAATAAACATACTCTGTCTAGGCAGTTTCTGCTTAAGTGAGTCTCCATTCAGTTCTCTCTAACCTTCTAGGGAATTCCTAGTTCTATTATTGATCATAGTTGACTCCAAAACTTCCTCAAAACACACATCACAATTTAAATTAATTGTTTGTGTAATTCTTCACTTAATTTTCTATCAGTGAAGAGTCATGTCTGGTTCTACCTTATATCCCCAAGGATTACCCTAGGAATTGGTGGGTACTCAACAAATATTTGTCAACAATGAATCAGTGAAAGACAAAAATCATGTTCTATGGCTAAAGTCATTGTAAAAACAGAATTTTAAAAGGGAATATGGCTGGCTTGTGCAAGTGTATTTTATTAAGGAGCAATCCTTTAGGACTTCTATATAATCTAAGGAAGGAAAAAAGTTATTCTACATTGTTTTAGTTTGAATTTGGAGTTTGGATATCAATGCTGAAATATCTCTTTTTCACGCAAGAGAAAAATATACAGTATAACAGTGACTTACCCAGCTAAATGAAATTAATAGTTTGTTCATTCAACATTGACTGATAATCCACATATACCAAAGTATGTTATGCTAATTGTTGACATTAGGAGGATGGGAAAGAAAATATAAAAAGTGTTCTTAACTAACAGTAGAGGACATGAGGGATGTATCCACATATATTTCATAATGAAGAGTATAACCTAATATTCAGGACATGGCATATGGATTGTGGAAAGCAGATCTTTAAATGAAATCTTTTGATTTTGCTCTAGATACTTCACTTTTTTTTTTTTTTTTTTGACAGGCAGAGTGGACAGTGAGAGAGAGAGAGAGACAGAGATAAAGGTCTTCCTTTGCCGTTGGTTCACCCTCCAGTGGCCGCCGCGGCTGGCGCACTGCGGCCGGCACACCACGCTGATCCAATGGCAGGAGCCAGGTACTTATCCTGGTCTCCCATGGGGTGCAGGGCCCAAGCACTTGGGCCATCCTCCACTGTACTCCCTGGCCACAGCAGAGAGCTGGCCTGGAAGAGGGGCAACCGGGACAGAATCCAGTGCCCCGACTGGGACTAGAACCTGGTGTGCCGGCGCCGCATGGCAGAGGATTAGCCTAGTAAGCTGCAGCGCCTGCCGATACTTCACTCTTTGCAATGCTCACATATCTATCCATAATGTCATTTGACAACATAATATACATCTGTGTCTGGGCAGAAAAGATTGAGGAAAACAGAATAGAAGAATAATATTGATCATAATATTTAAAGGAGGCATAAGGATAGGCAGCAGGACTTGGCGGGTAGGATAAAAGAGATGGTAGGACTTGAATGAGAGGCTCTGGGTCCCACCCCAGTGCACTAAGCCATGGAATAATCTGCTTTCTCCCCATCTTCAGATAGGCCATTCCTCATGTGGGAGAATATATATGTCGCTGGAACTTACCACTGAAGACTTCCAGGTACACAGGATCACTCTGGTTAAAACTGGGGCTTTGACATTGGTATTGCCCACTGTGCTGGAAGGTGGCATTCAAGATTTCCAAATGTGAAGTTGTCTCTGCTAAAGCGATGCCATCACGGGTCCACTTAGTGGAGTTGTCATCAAGAGACTTGTCCCCATTGCATGTAAGAGTTACAGCCTCTCCTCTAAATATTCTATTCCATGGTGGGTACAAAGACACCACAGATTTCAGCATAACTTCATGAAGATAAAATTATGAAAAGAGGAAATAAGGGGGGAAAATCATTGAAAACTGTTTAAATTATAAAATACAAGCATACTAACAGTCAGACAGTCAATGATGAGTCTACCCAGGTGCTGCTCATGAGAACCCTGTCCTGATTCCCAGGGGATATATTAAAGATGGAGGAAACAGGGGCTGGTACCATGGTATAGAAGGCTGAGCCTCTGCCTGTGGTGCTGGCATCCCAAAAGGGTGCCCAAATGTCACTTTGTTTCTCCCTCTCTCTGTCTGTAACTCTACCTCTCAAATAAGTAAATAAATAAATCTTTAAAAAATAAAAATGGAGGAAACAGTGTTGTGGTCCGAAGGAGCTCCCAACATATGCAAGAGATTTATAAACAAACAAACCAATTTCTGTGTGACCTGGGATAACTTACTCTTATTCTCTTAATTTCAATAACAATAAATGAGAACCACAACTTCTTTTCAGCCAGAGACAATATCTGCCTTCTTAACCATTTCTCAGCACAGCGGCTGGCTCACAGTAAGTGTTCAGTAAATATTTATTGAGAGGATGAATGAGTAACTAATTGATGAATTCCTTAAACTGGATGAAGTATAAGGTTTTTTCATGCTTTGTGTGTGTGGTGTTTTTGTTTGTTTGTTTGTTTGTTTGTTTTTTGGACAGGCAGAGATAGTGAGAGAGAGAGACAGAGAGAAAGGTTTTCCATTGGTTCACCCCCCAAATGGCCGCTACGGCTGGCGCGCTGCACCGATCTGAAGCCAGGAGCCAGGTGCTTCTCCTGGTCTCCCATGTGAGTGCAGGGCTCAAGGACTTGGGCCATCCTTCATTGCCTTCCCGGGCCACAGCAGAGAGCTGGACTGAAAGAGGAGCAACCGGGACAGAACCAGTGCCCCAACTGGGACTAGAAACTGGGGTGCAGGCGCCAAAGGCGGAGGATTAGCCTAGTGAGCCACAGCGCCGGCCTGCTTTGTGTTTTAATGACTATTTAACTATGAGTGTACATGGAGTGCAAAACATATATCAATTCTGGAAGTAGAGAAATTGATCCCATGTATGGTGTCTCAAATTGAGTTGTTAGTCCTAAGATGCAGGTCCTAGTCTCCCATATTTTCCTAACATCCTGCCCTTGCCTTGAAGTTTCCTTCTCCTGCTTTTTAACTTGGTGACTTGATGGAGTGATGCTGCTGGACCTATAAGGTCCCTAATCAATAGCCCTGTGAGATTCTAATCACTGGACTCAAGAAATCATTTGTCTCCACCTGATAACATCTTGATATTTGGTCTTGTTTTGAGGAGTCTTTTTACCAGAAACTCCAGGCCCAACAAAGAAGGCAATTGCATGTAGCCCCCAGTCTGATGAAGGCCTACTTTTCCATCATCAAGATTCTATAAAGGACACAATATCACTAACCAATCAAAGGAGGATCACAAGCACTGCAGACCAAACAGTAACGTGCTGAGCATGCACCTCCCAGCTCATGCCAATCTATAAGAAGTTTCTGCCCTAACCCCTCAGGAATTGAGTGACAGTTGCAGAGCTCCTTGTTCTGCACTTTACAATAAATGGTTCCATTCTTCCACTCTCCTGATGCCAGTGATTGGCTTCCTGGATGTTGGGCAAATGGACGCAGTTTGGGATTTTCCATAGCAACTCCTGCAACCAGTTTGGGAGGGTTTTCTATAAGGATACTGAGAAGCACTAAAAAAGTCAGTCTTGAATGGTTTCTAAGAATAAAGGACTGTGCCACAAATTTGAACAAGAGTTAAGGAGGCAGCTAAAGAGTCATGATACAAGAGTGATCAATTCAGAAGAAAACTAAGCCTGGGTCGAAGGAGACATATGTTGCAATCCAGTTCTTTGTTAGCAGTGTAACTGCAGGCAAAACACTTGACCTGAGTTTCAGCACCCTCAATTGCAAAACAACCATAATAATAATAATAATAATGTGAGAATTGAATGAGATTGTGTGAAGCTGGCTGCGAGAGAGACTGAGACATGGTTGTTGACTCAAAGAGAGGAGGTATTGAGAGAATGAAATGGTATGTAAGAAGTTTTTGAAGAACGGGTGAGGAAGCCACGGCAAGATGGAGATGGGATGTAGGCTGACAAAGGAGGGGTATATTCCTACTCCTTAGAAAACAAATTGACGTGGAGCTAGCATTGTGGTGCAGTGGTTAAGCTGCTGTTTGCACCAGCATCCCATATTGAAGAGCCAGTTTGGAAACACAGCTTCTCCACTTCCAAACCAGCTCCCTGATAATGAGCCTGGGAAAACAGCAGGTGGTGGCCCAAGTACTTGGGTCCGTGACACCTAAATGAGAGACCCAGATGGAGTTCCTAGTTTTTGGCTTCAGCCTAGTCCAGCCCTTGTTGTTGCCACCATCTGAGGATTGAACCAGCAAGTCAAAAACTTCTCTCTCTCTCTCTCTCTCAAATAAATAAAGAAAGCTATTAAAATAATAAATAAATGTGCAAAGAATTTCAGGTCTATACAAAAAAAAAAACTAAACAAAAATGACAAGATGAAGACAAACAGTTAGAGAACAATGTCTAAACACATTGAAATGTTGAGAAAACAAAACAGTACTCACCTGCTAGTGTGCCATCTGGAGCTGCAAAAGTCCAGAAAATATAAGTTAGCATGGCTCCCCAGTCTGTAAGGATTACGGAGGACTAAGATCTGGATATGGGGATGAAGTCTACATCTAAAGAGGTTTAAGGTCAAATGTCTCAGAAGTCTGACCCAGTAAGAGAGGAATCTACTCTCTTTCCCCTGTCTTCCTTCTCTTGTAGAAATCTTGCTTTCCAAAAGATGCCAGGGCAATTGCAAAAAGAATAAACTTATCAGTTTGGATTCCTTCTTAGGTGTTGCTCAGCCTATTTTCTTCTGCTTTGCAGCTTGCCACCCTCTAGGGAGTCTAGAATATGTCCCGTGTCCTAGAGAAAGTCTCCACCAAAACAATCAAAATTCCCATCCTAGATGCTCCTCCAGATCCATTTTGGACCCTTAGAGAGGAATAACCCAAACACTTACTTACAGAAGAGCAGAAAAGCTATACACAGCAGAATGGGTCCTCCCATGCCTGTAGGCATCTCCTCTGCTGTGTCCGGGTGCCAACTGTCCTGGAGAGATCTGTGGTTTCGCAAATAGGCTTGAAAAAGGAGAAGGAAATGGGTTTTTTGGTATCATATCTGGTTAACTCAGCTGTGCCTGTACTTGCCTCTTTCTGCAGAGATAATACTCAGGTTTGTACCAAATGAGTCAATTTTATATTTATCCCCTTACTCTACTCCCCATCCTACCCACCAATTGCACCTCTGGAATCATAAGACAGAGGCATAGCTTTGGGTACAGTCCCAGAGTTTTCTTAAACTTTCACTTAATGAATCACTATTGAGTTTGCAACTTGCAAACGCGGGGTATAGGAGAGAAAAGAATAAAGCAGCAACAATTAATTAATTACTCAACATCTGATAGTTTTATGTCCCAGGGACTATGCTAAATATACTTGATATTTCATTCATTTCCCACAAGAATCTTATGAAGTAAAGATCATCATTATCTACCTTGGGAAAACTGGATCTTACAGAGGTTAAGTAACTTGTTGTAAGGTAATACCTAGTACATGGCTAATTTGGAGTTCAAACATAAAACCTAACCCCAGAATGGAATTCTTTTTTATTATTTAATAAATGTGAATTTACAAAGTGCAACTTTTGTTGGGGTGGGGGGGTCTCCCCCCTCCCCCCCCCCAGCCTCCCTCCCTCCCACGGCCCTCCCCTCTCCCACTCCCTCTCCCATCCCGCCCTTCATCGAGTTTCATTTTCAGTTACCTTCATATACAGAAGATCAACTTAGTATACACTAAGCAAGGATTTCAACAGGCTGCCCTCACACAACCGCACAAGGTATAGAGTATTGTTCGACTAGTTAGTGTTGTTTTTAAGTTTCATAGTAAAACACATTAAGGACTGAGATCCTACGTGGGGAGCATGTACCCAGTGACTCCTGTTGTAGATTTAACAATTGGCACTCTTACTTATGATGTCAGCAATCACCCGAGGCTCTTGCCATGAGCTGTCTAGGCTATGGAAGCCCCTTGAGTTCACCAACTCTGAACTTGTTTAGTCAAGGCCGTATCACAGTGGAGGTTCCTTCCTCCCTTCAGAGAAAGGCGCCTCCCTCCTTGATGGCCTGTTCCTTCTGCTGAGGTCTTGTTCACCAGGATCTTTCATTTAGGTTGTTTTGCCACCATGTCATGGCTTTCCATGCCTGTGAGACTCTCATGGGCCTTTTAGCCAGATCCGAATGCCCCAAGGGTTGATCTGAGGCCGGAGTGCTGTTTGGGGTATTTACCATTCTATGAGTCTGCTGTGTGTCCTGCTTCCCCCACAGGATCATAGAATGGAATTCTTACTCATTATGATAGTGGTGGTACACGTTCAGGAGTATGGCCAGCAATTGTTGAAATAGTTTCCAGTTTCTCCTGAGAGACCCACCCTCTTGTTACTTAATTTCCTGCTGATAAATTATCACATAAATCCACAGACTTTCATCTGATTCACTGATAATCTACCACCAAAACAGCCAAATTAGAGATCTTCAGAGACTTCTCTACCAGGCCTTAATCTGACTCAGAATATAAAACAGCAGAGACCATGTAATTTATTTTATTTTATTTCCCAACTTTTGTCAGTTTGTGATTTACAATCCTTCAGAATACTTACCTTTCCTCCTTTAAATACATATTAATTATCTCCCTCTCCAGGATCCTTTTAATTTTTCTGTTTTTTCAAAACTAGGTCAAGGTTGTTCATCTTCTAGGACCTGATATTATGAAGATTCTGGAGATTATGACTTCAGAAATATCTAAAATGGCCATTTTAAAAATTTGTCTTCTTACATGCAGCATTATATTTGATCTTTGCCAAAACACTGAAGTTGGTGGGAGAAGTATGTTTAAATCCATTTCATAACTGAAGTCATTGAGGTCCCATTATCTCAAGTCCTGTTCTTCCTCACAGACTGTTAAGTCTCCTTAATTAAACACAAAGTGACTCTGCATAAACATCTAACCAAATCTTCCAGCTCCCTATGAAATTGGAGAATATCAGGCTAAAAATACTCATGAATAAAAAGTTTCAAACAAGAAAGATTAATGAATGGTCCCATGACATAGGATGTTTTAGTGACAGATTTAAAGACAGCAGTAAGCTAGTAAGCTCTTTTGAAAAGTCCAAATTGTTAGTGCTTAGAAATCTTAATTCAAACACTCCTAACATTTATGTGGTTGGGGTTTATCTGTAAAATAAGGACAATAATGCTATACATATCATGGATTAGTATGAGATTTAATCATATAACAAATGTGCAAAATGCATTGCACAGCATCTGTCAAGTAAAAGATGTTCAAATAATATATCTTGTTCTTTGCTTATTACCATCATTTATTAAGTATTCTTTGGAGAAATATGAATTTAAAGTGGGTTAAGACAATCAGAAATCCATGTATGATATTTTATTTTATAACCAATGTTTTACAGTTTATCTAGGAAATCTCAATCCTCTTCAAAATTACAAAGAAGAAGAGATCATGATCTGGACAGAATGGAACACACACAAGTTTGTTGGGGGTGGAGGAGGACAAGGAGGAACTGGGAAAGATGTGGGTTGAAGGTACTGTCAGAAGATGAAGAGACAGATTCTGGCTTACCACTTTGCTCAGAGTCTGTCCAAGGGTTCTTTGATTTCCTTTTCCCTAGGACTGTAATCGTATCATCAACTTGGCTATCAGAGACAATTTTTTTGTAATGCTTCAAATGGTCAATTTAAAATCTTCCTCTGAAGTCTCCACAATATCTAAGTAGCTCCTACTTAGGTGGGAGTTGAAGTAGGGCTCATTAAGAGGGACTATTTCTAGATTGTAGAATATAAACCTTGGAATTAGAGAGACCACTCTCATTTGCTTCAACATTCCACAGCTTTCACTTAAGTGTGCAACATTTAATAAAAATGTCTTCATTAAAACAAAGGAAGTGGTTTGGTAGCAGTAATAGTAAAGGTGTAGAAAGTTCAACAAAAAAAGTTAATTAAAGCTTAAGAAACAAAGCGTCCTCCTATCTTCCCAACTCTAAAAACAACAAACAACAAAGAAAGAAAGAATAAGCTTTACTCTAATTGGTTATTTGTAAGTAACTACAGATAATCAAAGAAACAAAACAAGAATTCAGAAGGAACACAAAACTGAGATCAAACAAGAGCCCTATCCTACCCTGATAGAACTGGCTGATGTACCAGTTGAATTTCATACATTTTTAAATATTATTTTAAAAATATCTTCCAAACTTTATATCTACTATCTAAGTACAGTGTGCTGGTAATATCTTGTACCCAGACTGTCTACATAAATTAGTATAGTGTATCTTTTTATAGAAAACTTTTATTTAATAAATACAAATTTCAAAAGTACAACTTTTGGATTATAGTGGTTTTTCCGCCATAACCTCCCTCCCACCCGCAAACCATCCCATTTCTACTCCCTCTCCCATCCCATTCTTCATTAAGATTTATTTTAATTATCTTTTTTTTCTTTAAAATTTCTAATTTATTTTGTCTTCTAAACTCACACAATTACAGTACTTGGAAAAATTATGAAATGAGGCAATAAACTATTTTTAACTTTTATTTAATGAATATAAATTTTCAAAGAATAGCTTATGGATTACAATGGCTTTTCCCCCCCATAACTTCCCTCCCACCTGCAACCCTCCCCTCTCCCATTCCCTCTCTCCTTCCATTCACATCAAGATTCATTTTCAATTATCTTTATATACAGAAGATCAATTTAGTATATATTAAGTAAAGCTTTCAACAGTTTGCACCCACACAGAAACACAAAGTGAAAAATACTGTTTGAGTACTAGTTATAGCATTAAATCACAATGTACAGCACATTTAGGACAGAGATCCTACATGAGGAGTAAGTGCACAGTGACTCCTGTTGACCTAACAAATTGACACTCTTGTTTATGCCATCAGTAATCACCCTAGGCTCTTGTCATGAGCTGCCAAGGCTATGGAAGCCTTTTGAGTTCACCGACTCTGATCATATTTAGACAAGGTCGTAGTCAGAGTGGAAGTTCTCTCCTCCCTTCAGAGAAAGGTACCTACTTCTTTGATGACCTGTTCTTTCCACTGGAATCTCACTCGCAGAGATCTTTCATTTAGATCATTTTTTCCCCCCAGAGTGTCTTGGCTTTCCATGCCTGAATACAGAAGATCAACTCTAATATAGTGTATCTTAATCTCACTTCTCTCTGCAGGCTTTTGCATCTGTGTACGCATGTGTTCCGTACATAAACAGCATCGCTTTATGTCTAAATTACGACTTCTTGTTGGTTCTCAAAAGCCTTAATCTTGTTGGTTCTGAAAAGCCATAAAGAAACTCAACTGGCCATGCATGTACTATAAGATCTGTGGAATGTGAAGTGTCCCTGCAGCTGGATCCAAAAATGAGAGACTGTTTAAGAGGAGATTTGTGTTTGGGGGCAGAGTGGAGGAGAGGAGATGGGGCTCAGCCTACATGATGTCTTGTCCTTTGAGCATCTCTCCATAATTGGGAAGCAGAAAGGAAGACACATTTCCCAACTTCTTCCTATTCAAGTTCTGTAAAACCAAATGAAGTTCATTCAAAAAGTGGATATATGCTAATGAAAGAGCAAAATATCTGTCTGCTCATGGAGTTGTTACCTAATACATACTGACACTTTGCTGAGGACCAGTATGAAGACCAAGCATGCAACATGCCTGATCTATTTTGTTCCTCCTACAAACTACACAATGAAAAACGCACAAAGAGGTTAAGTGCTGGTGCTGTGGCTTCTACTTGCAGTGCTGGCATCCCATATGGGCGCCTGTTCTAGTCCTGACTGCTCCACTCCTGATCCAGCTCTCTGCTATGGCCTGCAAAAGCAGTAGAAGATGGCCCAAGTCTTTGAATACTTTAATCCACATTGGAGACCCAGAAGAAGCTCCTGGCTCTGGCTTCAGATCAGCTCATCTCCCGCAGTTGCGGCCATTTGGGGAGTGAACCAGGGGATGGAAGAGCCTTTTCTCTGTCTCTCCCTCTCACTGTCTGTAACTCCACCTCTCAAATAAATAAAATATAAAAGAAAATGCATATCCTCTATATAAACCGGGAATAATAGTAGTGCCTATCTAAAAGTATCATTGAGAGGATTTAAAGATATTTTAAAAAAAAGGTTAAGTGCTTTGTCCAAGGACCTACCTTTGCTGTGTAGTTAAAATTTAAAACCAGCCAATTTGGCCGAAAAGCCCACCACATTCATGACCATTTTGATAGATGATAGGTAGATAGACAGACAGACAGACAAATACACAGACACATATATTGTGATTAAAGTGCAAATGGATTCATGGTTCCTATGCCAAAATTCCTTGAGTACCAAGGAGTCCATAACTCACAAACAGGAAACTATTGTTCTTGTCCAACCTCCTAGTCTACAAATTCCTTGATTCACTGAATGATTATTTAATCCAAGACCACACACTGTGGTTGGCACTCTTGGCAGGTTTCTTGTGTTCACTTCATAAAAATTCCTAAAAAGAAAAGAGAAGAAAGGTAAATTCTCAGATTATGAGGAACAGTAGGACATCAGCTGTATCTTCTTCTCTTGTCACCTTAAACAAGCATCTGCTCAGGAAAGAGCACTCAACAGCAGGTGATGCCTGCCTGTGGCTTTTCACAATAGTCAGTGGCCTTAATACTTTTTACTTCTTTTCTTGACCTTAACAGTTGCCTACTTTGGGTTCAAAAGAAGTAAATCCAAAAGAAATAAATGGAAATTCCCAGGACACCCAAAGTAAATGCCACTCAGAGAGAGAGGGAGAGAGAGAAGGAGAGAGAGAGAGATGGAAATTATACAAGCTGCAGCTTTGGATACAGGCAGAAATTCTTTCCCCAGGAAAAGAAAAATGAGACTTCAAGAA